GGACTTACAAAAGTGGCAACAATCAAGACACAAATTTTTCTGGGCAAATAAAACCCCAACAGTGAGCTTTGAAACAATTTGTAGACCAACATAAAGGGGAGGATTAGGAATACCATATTAAATGAAATATTATGAGTCTTTCATTCTGCCAAATTTTATGCAATAATGCACAGGAAATGTAGAGTAAAACCGGCTGCAAATTGAAAGTTTCTACTCATCTCCACTTTCACTTGCAGAAGCTTATTGGGGGGAATCTAAACAGAGACCTCTAAGCATTAAAGATATAAATCTCTTAGATATAACCTGCAAAATTTGGGATAAACAGAGGCAGATCTTAGCCACAGAGAACTCACTGCTAAAGCCTTTTAAAATCAAGAGTGGTTTCCCCCAGGGAAATAACATATAGCTTTCTTAAAATCGCATCAGGCAGGGATAATCGGATTAATAGACTTATATGATAAGGGCAAGATCTTAGAAAATACTCATCTGGAAGTAAAGGTGGGGGGCAAACAATTCCCTGGTAGATACCTGTAAGTTGCATACATGTTAAGGAACACACAAACAACACAACCTAGGCCCAGATTGTTAACAGATTTTGAACAACTAATGAAAGAAAATGATGGATCTTCATCTAGGGTTGCCAAGTTCCCGCTGTATGTATAGTGGGGGACTCCAGCTCCCTTCCGGGAGCTCGCGCGCATGTGCGAAGCATGGACGCGCCGCAACCACATCACCCAGAAGTGACGCGGCCACGTCGGACGCAGGGCCGCGGTCATCCGAGGGAAAAACATAGAGTTTTCCCTCGGATGACCGCGGCCCTGCCCCTGGCGCGGCTGCGTTACTTCCAGGTGACGTGCTGACGCCAGGCACGTCACATGCTTTGGGGGTGGGGTTCCCCCCAGGGCCCGATTCGCCAGCGGCGTGTAACAGGCCTCTGGGGTGGGGGTTTCCTCGCCCTCCGGGGGGACTTGGCAAGCCTATCTTCATCAGGCCTCATCTCTAAAATGTATCAGATATTGCTTTCCATTGATAGCATCAAGAATTTGGGAAAAGTCAAAAACAGTGGAACATAGACTGCCAAAATAGACTAACAGACGACAACTGGACAAGGATATGGAACTCTCCTAGCTTTAAATCAAATTATCTTTAACGTCAGATTCCAAATGTTTAAGATGACAACTAGATGGTAAATAACACCAACAGGTTTGAACAGGATAAAAGCCACAAACAAAAAATGTTGGAAACAATGTGATCAAACAGGGGACTTTCTGCACTGTTGGTGGAGGTGTGCGTATGTTGATACTTTCTGGAGAAAAGTGTTGCAGGAAATACATACGATAACGGGCTGCCTGTAACCTACCCTCGATATTAGAAACCATTCTCTTAGGAATATGGGAGGATTCTCTTTCTAACAAGGCAAAAAAAGAATTGATCTAACTAGCAGTGGCAAGGATCTTACTTGCAGCATACTGGAGACACTTACAAACCCCTTCCATAACAACATGGAGAAGAAAATTGTGGGACTATTTTGTATTAGGAAAGATAACATAACATAATACCTTAAGCAAATAAGAAAATGCATCCTTGAAATCTGTGGAGGTCTGGTATCCACTGATTAAATACTTAATAGAGGCCCCTGCCACACGGCAGGGAAAAGACGGGGCAAAGCGTGACTATTAAAAGCCGTGCCAAAAAAGAAACGCCCCGGCGGGATCCCATGGATCCCAGTTGCTGTGCTCCGTTGCTCCCCGGCACGATCAGATGCCGGGGAGGACGACACTAGTCGAAGGGGGAGGCTGCCGTACTGCGCATGCTCGAGCATGCGCAGTACGGCAGGGGGCCGGGGATGCGACGGTGGCAAGACGCGCCGCCGATCCCACGGCCAGGATGAAGCGCCTCAACCGGATGAACCACCGAAGTAGGTGGTTCATCTTTGACACGCTTCATCGGGGGAAGGGCCGGGTTGGAGGCGGGAGCGCGACACCAGGCAGATGTTGCCGTGGGATCGCGCCCGTCTGATGCGCCTCCAATCCGGCCCGCTCCCGGCCCAAACTGCCTCGTATGAACGGGGCCAGAAAATGGCATTGCGCCCAATAACCCATATTAAATGATATGCTTTTGAAAATTAATTAAGTAATACTCAATAGTTCAGAGACTGCTTGCTAAATGAGTACTGTTCATGAAAAAAGACAGTTGATATATTGTATATTTAATTAAATGTATATGAAAGACTTGTTATAACTGTAATCGGTTAGCACTTTATGTACGGCTCATTGGTATTGCTCCTTACTGTTACATTAAAAGGTAAAGGTTTCCCTTGCTCGAAAGCCAGTCGAGTCCGACTCTAGGGTTGCGGTGCTCATCTCCGTTTCAAAGCCGAAGAGCCAGCGCTGTCCGAAGACGTTTCCGTGGTCATGTGGCCGGCATGACTAAACACCAAGGCACACGGAACGCTGTTACCTTCCCACTGAAGTGGTACCTATTTATCTACTTGCAATTTCTTGCTTTCAAACTGCTAGGTTGGCAGGAGCTGGAACTAGAGACAGGAGCTCACCCCATCTTGCGGCATCCGGGTCTCGAACTGCTGAACTACTGACCTTCCACAGCCTGCAGTTCAGCGTCTTAACCACTTGAGCCACCGCAGCTCCGTTACATTACCGTTATATAATTTTAAACTTTATGTTAAAATAAACAGTTTATTAAAAAAAAATTAAAATTACCTGTTCACTAGCCATGTGACTATTAGAACCCCTCAGGCTTAGTACAGAGGTTGCTATCACTGCAGTGTCTAACTATTCATACTGCAATTACCTAAGATTTTAGGAAACAAATATATGTGTAATGTTAGCTAACTGATAGATCAACTATTTTTGTCGCAGGCAATTCTGATACTGTTGAAGGAGTGATGTTGGAATATAAACACTGTAGTATCCATTACTTACAGTAGTTTCTGTAGTGTTCGCTGCTGATAGACTTCATTTGAGCAATATTTTACATAAGGATCAAAAGTTGATGAAGTATGCTTTTCCACAATATCACTGATATCTTCGATGAAGATGTTATTCTGATGCCTTGCTTCAAGCTCTTTGAAGAATCTGAAGAGAACAAATGCACAAAACATACTTCACTATGGTTTCTTTTGTAAGAAGCTAAAGGGCCTAAATGGCTTTATAAATAAACAATGATAAGCAACTAAGCAGAGATATTTGAACCTACAATGGAATACCATGCAAGTGAAGAACCCTGAATTGCCTATTTATTCAAACATTACACATGTACTGTTACTGTCAGTGGAAGTGGGGTTGATTATTTGTATCTGTGGGGAGAACATAAAGATCAGGTTAAAGCACAAAATATTCCATTAAATTGTTATATCTACATGTTTTGTGGACTACCTAAAAAAACCCTAATTTGAATCAATAATAACCAAATATACTATTTGTATGTGAAAACTGAAATACAATGAGCTGAATTCAAAAGGTGATTATTGACCAGCAGAAAGGGGTTGTTTTTGGCAATTCCCCCACCTACTTTGTCCACCTTGTTGTTCCTGCGGATCCTTTTGTGATAACATGATGCTTTCCCCCATCTGTCACAATCCCAGCAGCAAACATCAAGCAGTTATAGGTTTAGCCTGTTTGCCAATGGTCAACAAGACTGAGCAGGGCCTTCTGCAGGTGCCACCTTGCAAATGGACAAAATTAACAACTGCCTGTATGTGTGCATTCTTTCTTGTGACCTCTGCCTTATGACAAGGTTAGAAAGGCTCCTACTCTCTGCACTTTCTGCAAACTGTGCAAAACTGAATTATTTAGGAGGGCTTTTTTATATAAAGGTAATAGGGCTGTACTGTAATGAAAAGTTTCAGAAAGATGCTTCGGATAGAGACTATAGACTATACTACTGGGTACTATCTGTTGCTATGCTCCTACTAGGTAATTTCTGCATCATTTAACATGTTGTGCTTTTGCTTTGTTTCAGCATTGTTTCAGCTCTGTAGCAGATTTCTGCTTGTTTTCAAATTTCTGCAATCCAAACCCTGTTGCATTGTTTGTTGGAGAATTTCTACTCCTCCCTCCCCTCCCTCTGGTTTTTTATTTAAAAGAGCTCTTATTAAGAGTGGTTGGGTGGGCAAGTAAACAGGTAAACCAACATAATAACAATTTACAAGAAGGGAAGCTTTAGAAGGGTTACATAACCACACACTCAAAAATGACAGGCTGTTTTCGTTGGAGAGATGGATGGATTTTACTTGGAACTGCTTACTAACCCCAGGAATCTTAAGACTCTTGAAAAAGTATTAGCTTGTCTCTCAGGATTGCTCCAATCCTCTCACAAGTCACGTATATGCTGTTTCTCTGAGGCAGCCTAACCTGCCTATCAGAGGATCCTGACCAGTGTTCCCTCTAAGCTGAGTTAGTGTGAGCTAGCTCACAATTTTTGAGCCTCTGGCTCACACATTTTTGTCTTGGCTGAGGAAGGATGGCTCCAGAGCAAACTAGTTTATCCAGCAGCCAAATCTCTTGCTCACAACTTTAATGCCAGTAGTTCACAAAGTAGAATTTTTGCTCACAAGACTCCACAGCTTAGAGGGAACATTGATCCTGACTATAGGCTTTTGAGCCCAAACCACCTAGCTCTTCACCCAGACTGAATAATTTTTCCTGTTATTTTCCATTTTTCCACTCATTTCCCTGTCTCTTCACTAACCCTTTCTCTCTCTCTCTGACAAATTCACAGCCTCCCATTGGTTGTAAACTCTAGAGATTTGCATACCCAGCAGGGAATCAGGGATTGGCCGTGATGCAGGGATGGTGGAACTAGAAGCCTTCCGTCACAATCCTATTCTCCAGGAACAGCCTTTCAAGGCATTCAGTGGGCTGCCGTAGATAGGGAGAGCTGTGAAAGTTATATTATAGTGGCGGAAGGGTGTGTTTTTTTTCTGCCATCAAGGCACAGCTGACTTATGGTAACCCTGTAGGGTTTTCTTTATGGTCTCACAACCAAATACTAACTAGGGCTTAGGGTTCCTGCTTAGCTTCCAAGATCTGACAAAATTGGGCTAGCTTGAGCTATCCAGGTCATGGCAGTGGAAGTACCTTCTGTTAATTGAAAATGACCTTTGAACCTCCTAAATATAGAGTATCCATGGAATGTACAGCACCTCCCCTGCATGAGCTTCCAAGACTTGTGTGATAAGCTGCTAGCTTTCTATAATTGGCACATGCCATTTTATTAATCATGAAGATATCAAAAAAATAACACAGAGAATCTTAAATGTGTTACTCTCAAATGCTGTTGCTTTGTATCACTTTAGGGGAAGGGGTGGTGCGCAGGTTGGCCCAGCCTAGGTCTGTCTTCTTGCCCCAGCTTTCTAGTCACTTGCTTCTTAGCTTCCATTCCTTCTCACAAAGCAGAATGCAGCCCAACGTTGCCTGTGTGCACAACCTGTTCCTTCTCATGGCAATCGTATTGTGCTCTGTGGATAAAATGCATGGGGGTAAATGGACCAGGGTGTTTGTGATTTTTTTCAAAATGTTTAGTTTATCGTAACTATTCAAAAATTCTTCAAAAACATAAAATATATATAGGGCCACTAAGAAAACTGTTGTATTGGGTTTAAAAACGTTCTCTAAGATTTCTGCAGTCTCTTGCAATGCTGTTACAAAGCAAAGTAAATCCTGCTTTAGGCAGCACAACAAAATGTCAAAAAGGAGTCCCTGGACAATAGTAACTTATTGGAAGGTGGACATAGGGGGACCAAACCCATAAGTATAGGGGGACCAAACCCATAATGTTCTTTATAGACTGACTAGAAATAAGGTTCATTGTGGAAATAAATACAACGATCTCTAGAAAGAGGCTCTTGTAAAGTGCCAAGGCTTTGGGCACTCAGCATCAATGTGCCGTAGCGACCTCAGCAGGGTATAATGACACAGAGTCCACCATTTTCTCCAGAGGAACTGATCTCTGCTACTTGAAGAGCAGTTGTAATTTTCAGTGATCTCCAGCCCTCGCCTGGAGATTGGCAACAATTGTTACTCAGGAGGAAATGGCTGGTTTGGAGGGTGGAGTCTATGGCATTGTACCTGTCTGAGGTCCCACCCCTCCTCAAACCTCACCCTCTCCAGGCTCCACCTCCCAAATAATGAATTTCCCAACCTGGAGTTGGCAACCTTATCTCCTTCCCAGCCAAGCATCAACCAGCCATTATCTGCCCCTCTGATTTCAGCTTTGCATCTCTTCCCCCCTTCCTCCTGGAGATCAGTTGCAATTCTGAGTAATTTCCACCCCTCTCCTGAGATTGGAAACAGTGGTTCCCCAGAAGGGAATGGCTGGTTGGGAGGGTGGAGTCTATGGCATTGTACCTTTCTGAGGTCCCACCCATCCTCAAACTTCACCCTCTCCAGGTTCCATCCCTCAAATCTCCAGGAATTTCCCACCTGGAGTTGGCAACCATATCTCCTTCCCAGCCAATCATCAACCTGTCTCTATTTCCCCCTCTCTCTTCAGCTTTCCATCCCCCCCTACACACACCTGCAGCCTCTCCCGTGCTCTGAAGCCCTGGCTGCCACAGAGTCCACCATTTTCCATGCTCTGAAGCCCTGATTGCCACAGAGTCCACCATTTTCTTCACGGGAACTGATCTCTGCCATCTGGAGAGCAGTTTTAATTCTGAGTGATCCCCAGCCTCTAGAGATTGGCAACAATGGTTCCCCAGGAGGAAAAGTAGTCTTTCTCTGCAATGGGGACCAAAGCAGCTTACATAGACCCTGCTCTGAAGCACTGACCACTACGCATAGGGCAGCCAACCTCCAGGTGGAGCCTGAGGATCACCAGGTATCACAACTGAACTCCAGACAACAGATTCCCCCCCCCCCCGAAAATAACTGTTCTAGAAGGTGGGCTGTGTGGCATTCTGTTCAGCTGAGGCCTCTCCCCTCCCCAAACCCTGGCTTCCATAGGACGAAGACGGCCTCTTCCCTTGATGGGCTGCAGTCTATACTGATGCCGCCCCATGCACTGGGACAGTCCCGGTTTTCCCGCCCTTTTCTGCCTTGGGGCAGCTGGGAACTGTAGTCCAGCAGATGAGAAAGCCCCCATTCAACCCAGTGAGTGAGACCTCTCTGGAACTACAGCTCAATTAAACCTTATGGCAGAACATTTTAAACAAACCACAGACAGCAGCCCAGCAGCCATCTTACAAACACAGGTAACTGCCATTTCATTACATCTACCAACAGCCACTGAGGGAAAAGTTAAGTCCCACACAGGAGGCAAGCAGGAGAAGCGTCTTGTCAAAGAGACAAAGCCATTTGCCAGGAATTCTGACAGGGCAGAGTGAAAGGGGGAGTGGGCGGGGAAGAGCAGCACACCCGGGCAATGGCACACCAGTAGTCTTGACTTGCAGCTGATGGGCCAATGGCTGGCGGAGCACATGCAATCTCGCCACCCATAGGCCAGAAGCCACCACCATTCGGCAATTATATATAAGAGAGATGTTTGAGGAAAGAATTTGAAAGCTATTCAACCGTTAGGTCCAGCCTGGCTATGTGGTGGTGTCTTATGCTTTTTGTAAATAGATGTTTTAACCAGCAGGGTAATGATTAACCCAGGCACATGAATGGTCTATTTTTAACTCTATAAACCTATGGCTGGTGAATAACTTTTACCTTGAAAGCTTGTTAATATCTGGAATTAGTAGATGAATCGTAACATAGGAGCAAAGGAACAATAATTTGTGTTTCAGTCATGCCAAAATAATGTCAGCAATATCAGGGAGTCAAGCAAGAATTGCAATGGGTTAGAGTGATGGATAGGTTTCAAGTTCCACCCTCCAGAAGCCTCAGCCAATCACTTTCAAATGGTGAACTGAAATATTGGAAAGGGGGGAGAGGTCTGACAGTTTAACTGCTGACCAACTGACAGAGTGAGGGGATTGATGGATTTTGGTGGGAGAAGGGTTAGGAGGTCTGCTGGCTAGGCAGCGAGTCCATTAGGGACCTTAGGTATTTTGAAGATAGGTCGGGCTTGGCTGTCATCACTGTCATATCACAGTGGGAGAAAACAAAACAAAACCCTTCCATATATTTTG